GCCTGGAGTTTAACAGAGCTGCCGGAAAACACCATTTGGGGCTTTGCAACGTCCAAAGCCAAAATCTGACAATTTGAAATAAACAAAGTGGAGAAAGAGCAGCTGGCTTGAAGGCCCCAAGAAGGCAGGCGCTGCTGCTCACTCTGGCTGCAGAAATGGGGTTCCCACAAGGATGCCTTTCCCCCCAAACCCCAACCATGAACACAGAGCAGGTTCCAGTTAGTAAGTTTAAGGATTTTAAAGAGGATTTTCCTCCTTGATCGCATAAGAAGATCCAAGTGGCTGTAGTGAGACAGCCCAAAGTCCACAATCACCAGAATCCTCCCTCCAACAGTAGCCGCCCAAAGATCAGTCTACAAATGGGGCACACACATTTCCCAGAATACTTTCCCAGCCTCCAGCAATCTGTAGTTCAGGAACTTCCCAAGAAGGCGGCAGGCGTTTTGAATTTAACATCCCTTCAGGGATGTTTCTTCTGATAAGCCATCCAGTCACTTTTTTTATTCCATGCAAACTTTTTGCATCCATTGTATCCTGCAGCAGGGAGCTCCACAGAATAATTACTTGCTGCATGAACAGCTACTGCCCTTTGTTTTGAAGCCGCCAGCTGCCATTTCATTTGATGCTATCTAGCACTTGCACTGGCAATGAAGAGTCAATCCTCATCCACCTTCTCCATGCCCCTCAGGATTGCCCCTCTGCCACACAACTTGCATAACAGCATTCGCTGTTCTTTGCTCTTTTCTCACAATTAGTAAAACTCAAATTCTTTTTAAACCATCACTGGACCAACATGACCACCTATCACAGCCCAAGGTCTCATTCTGGAGAAAAGGTGATCAGTTCACAGCCTGTCACTCTGTGCGCGTGCTTTTGAAGTTTAGGCTTTTTGCCCTATTTACATCACTTTGTGTATATTGAATTCCAATTGCCTTCTCATTCACTCTCACATGGTCCTTTTGCAATTCTCCACACTCAGCTCTTGTCCTTACTACTCCATATTGTAATCTGTCGCTTCCCTGCTGATTTCCAGTCTAGTTGCTTCTGCACTAGACTAGTATGTACAAGAGGATGTATCCCAATACAGTGCTTGCAGGATGGACTGGTGACCCCTGCCCACTGCCACAACTGACCACTTACTCCTGCCCTCTGTTACTATCTTTTAACTAGTCCTTCCGTTGCATAAGGACGTTCACTCTTATTGTGGGATTCGGGCTGCTTGTTTTCTTCCAGAGTCTTTGGTGAGGGACTTCCCCTCCTACCGGAGGCAGGACTGACCTTTACAAAGCAGCGTTGACTCTTTCTAAGTAAATCATTTTCATACAGGTGTCCATCAATTCTTTTTACTGTAGGTTCTTTTGTTTATGCTGTTGCCAATCATGTCATCATGGTGCTTAGATATCACTGCAAAGCTTTAAAGACTGGAAAGTCCTTTCCAAGTCAAAGGATCACCAATGCCAGTGTAAAAAGCTTGACTGTAACCATTCATCGGCATGGCTCTCAGCGCTTGCTCTTAGTTGTGACTTTCCACTGCTGTGAGTTTCTTGTGCAGTGTGTAGAGCCTGGGGGGTGGCAGGTGGTTTCTGCACTGAAACGAGTTAAACAAACTTCTACTTCAATTTGCTGCCAAGGCTTTCGGGAATGAGGCAGTTCAGAAAAACAGCCTGGGAAAAACATACGCTCAGGGTTGCTGTAAGCAAATGCTATTACTGGGAAGTAACATTTTTTTTCATTGAAAACAAGTTGGAGGGGTTTTTTTTCAGTTTTCATCTCCTTTCCTTCAAAACTATATTGAGTTCCCAATGAGAAAAAAGGCCTACTGAGAAAGACTGTCAGCTCTGTTACTTGCAAAGTCCCTTCTGCCTCCTAAAGTAAAGGGAACTGTTGAAAAATAGTTTTTCCCTCATTTTACATTCCTGGATCTTTCCATCCTTGCTGTCCCTTATCCCCGAGGCTTTTGACTCATTTTCTGACCTATTCCCAGCATGTCTTTCAGTACAAACCCATCACAGAGAGTGTTAAGCTGTTGGGAGAGGTGACAGCTTAGTTCTCTGTTACAGAGAAGTGATGGTGGCTCTATAGTTAAAATGATAACAGGGTTCCTATACTAATAACAATTTTTGAAACATGGTAAGATCAAAACACATAATTGCTCTAGTCTGACATTCAGGGTGAAATATAGGGTCATTTGATCCAAGACATTTTGAGACATAGGCCTCTTTCACCTTCCCAAGGCTTATTTTAAAAACAACAGCTTTCCTATAAGGCTTCTTCTGCATCAAGATAGAGACACCTCAAAAAGATACCTATGCTGCTGAGATTTGGTGGTTGGCCTTAAGAGACAAAAGCAAAAGCATTCCTCAAGTTTTGCTTGGCACAGAGAGAAAGGCGGGGGGTATTCTCAGATCGGGCTGGCCGCACATGACACAGGCTGAGTAGGTTGGCTGACTTCTCTCTACTGGCAGCTCTAAATACATCTGCACAAGCTGTTTTTAGAGGGGGGCAAAAACCGGGGAGTGAATGAGAAAGTCACCAAAAAATACCAAATTGTGTTGCTAAAATTCTCTGTGAGTGCCTTCGGGACACGGCTAACAGTTTTGGCAACCTTCTTCCTCCCCAGCTGGTCCCACATACTGACATGGGAGAAAATAACCCTGGAAATTTGGAATCCACCCTATTTCTTGTTTTCAAAGACAACAGCAAATCAAAGTTGAAATCTCCACACAGGAGCTAAAGCCATTTCCATCAGGAGAAGGACTGTCCTCCTCTCTTGCTGGAAGCCACAAATACACACAATTTTCCACATTGGACAGTTACGGCAGCTCTGGGATACGTTGTTTTCCCTTATGCTTGCAACACATGCATGGGGCAGAGAGCTTCCCTAGAAACCCCTGCTTAGAAAGAGAGAAGCAAAATGGTCAAAGCGCAACAATCTCTACAGCAGAACTGCTTTATTTATTAAAGCATCCCTTATCCCAGGAGGGTTATTACCTTGACGGGGGCTCTCACCCCGTCACTGAAGCAGGAGCACTTTGTAGCCTGTCACGTGGTGGTTTCCTCCGCCTCCAGCACCAATCAGAGGATTGTTAGTACAGGCTCATGGGAAACATATGTACCTTTAATTGCCTCACTGCTGCATGTAGGCATGGATGGTTGCCTAGCTAGGGTACAGCTTTGAGGCAACAGCAGGTTTGCTAAGAATAGTGGCTGTAACTCTTTTAAATAAGAGCACGAAGGCCTGCAGCAACTCCTGGTGTTCTCATTTCCTATTCACCTGCTGAGCCAGGGGCGGGTAGCTCCAGAAGCAAGGGGATGCCGCAGGCACGGAAAGCTGGCCATGCCTGGGAGAGAGGCAAGCTTGCAGAGTCAAGTGATTTTTCTCTATTCCTTTCCTGTTGTCTTTCCACATCCCTCCAGCCTACTGCCTCATCAGCTGATATTGGCTGAGGAAGGGCACAAGTCAATACAGTGAACTTTTCTCCTTGCCAGGGTCCATTTCTCCACCCCTCCCCTTCAGGGAAGATGCCTTGAAAAATAAACTCGTTGCCCTCTAAGGAGTAGGACCCTGAGGACTCTGCCCTCCCCTCCAAGAGGGTCCCGACAGGGATTTGGGAGAAAAAACCAGTTCTGCAGCATCTGCTCTTTGAGGTAGTGCTGGTGCAAGGTGTCTAGCCTTCCTTCCCTGCAGTACTGCCTGCTCCAGGGCAGCCTGCTGGAGAAAAGGATCCTGCGGCTCAACTTTAAGGAAAAACCATTGGCCAAACAAGTAGGATAGGCAGCAGAGAGGTTCCTGATTTGCAGCCTTGGCATCAAGGCTGTTTCTCTCAGGAGTGGGGTTGACCCTGGCAGTGCACTGTGCTAAGTAAGGGGCTGTTCCTATCAAAGCTGTTGTGCAAAGGACACTGCTGTTCCCCGGTGTCCCGACTTGAGGTGTTGGCCAGCCCTTGATGTGGTGGCTGGAGCTGGCTTCCAGCTTTCATTCCCAGTCTGTGGCATGGTCTGCCCTCCAGGAAAGGTGGTCAGAGGCTGTCCCCTCTGCTGATCCAGCATGCTTTGCCGGAGGCCTGTCCACCCCATTCCCCAGCCATCACTTTGCCATGGAGACCCAGGACACAGGAACGCAGCACGGAGTGGAGGTGCCATGAGGAACCCATCCTGCTGCCTCTCTCTGTCCTCCTTTTTAATTAATCCAGTATGAGCTGAGCAGTAACACTGGCCTCAAACAGGCTCCTGTGCACTAAGAACTGCCCTAGCCTTCAGAGACCACCCCAGACCATTTCTGCAAACAACTCAGAGCAAACAGCTCCCTCCTGCAATAAAAGGCTCCAAAATGGCATCTTAAATCCATGCTAATGGCTCTGATGAAGGGTCCTCCTCAGCTCTGTTTGCCTGGCTTTGTTTCTCCCGGCAGCCCTATTCCACTCAAGCAAGGCTTTTTTAATGGCTGATGGAAAGCAGGCAGCCCTGGCTTTGTCAGTTAGGACCTGTGGAGAGTCTTAAATCCCTGGTCTTATCTCCCAGCTGCCTTCCTTCTCTTTCCACAGTCTGATGCAGGGGACAGGCAGGCATGCTCTGAAGTCTCACCTTGTCCGCAGCCCCTGCAGTACAGGGCCCTGAATGGACCATGCACTCAGGGCATGAAGGCCAGGAACTGGTTGCTTTCATCACGTCCTGCCTCTTGCCCTCCTGTGTGCTGCAGGGAGGTTTTTTTGCACCTTCTCCCAGTGTATTCCCACTTCTCCAGTCACTGAAGACTGATCCTGGGGGGTGGCCCAAACCTGCCGCAAGCTCTGTTCCTCGTCTCTGCAAAGCCCTAATTCAAACATGCCCCACTGAGTCCTGATACACTTCAGGACCTGCATCAGAGCAGCTTTTGGAGCAGCTGTAGCAAGACAAGAGGGATGCCACAGGGATGGAGGCCTTTGGAGACAGTAAGGCAAGGCTGCCCCTTCAGCA